TACGGTATAATTTCACACATTTATAAATCACCTTACGTACTCCTTGGGACATTGCCACATAGCCCCAGGGGTCCACGCACCCATGGTTGAGAATCACTGGTTTACATTGTACCTATTTTTGTACCAACATTTTTTTAAATCGCTTAACCGCAAGTAGTTATCTGCCCGGTTCGTTCCCCTCCCTGCCGATACTATTCAGCTGGGGGGGGGGGGGCCTTTCAAATGTATGAAATCCGAGTGAGATGAGAGGAAAGATACAGGCAGGAGATATAGATGTACCTTGTTAGAGAAATGTAGACATGTCGGCATGTCGTGAGGTGAGGAAGGTAGGATTTAGTCAAGATAGTGATAAGAGACAGGGCAATTGTATTTTGATGATCATTAGCTTTTTGGTTATGATGTTTATGAGGATTTCAATTTGAACTGATGTTTAACGCACCTCACGCCTGGCACCGCAAAGGCTCCTAGAGCGGCCAGTTGAGGGACGTGGCTATCGAAGAAATACAGATTCAGATTAGCGAGAGGAAAGAGATAAACAAGGCAGAGCGATGAGAGAGCAGTGAACGCGAGATTTCTTGAGATGAGAGAGACGAACGAGACAGAGGTACGGATTGGTGATCACGCGTACAGACGTTGTGTTGTCGGGACCTCGTGAGACTCCTTTACACATGATGTCATGTGGCCCACCAGCACACGCCAATTTAACTTTGTATCCCACCAGAAAATATAGTTTTAGGAGAACCCTGTTATACATCATGGGGAAACGCTGCAGTGTGATGCCAATATTTTTTTCACGTTGGCCATTTATACTGGCACAACACAACACCCCTGGACAAAGGGGCATATAGAGCGACGTATAATGAGGACCTGTAAAATTCATATTAATCTTGACAAGTGTTGGCAACTGCCATACAATCGGAGAATGTTTACGTGTGGGTGAAGAATGCACAGCGGTGGTGCGGTGGTTAGCGCACCGAGCTACGAACCCACTCTAGGCTGAGGTTGATTCCAAGCCACGGCTAACGTAAGTGGCGAGTGATGTCAGGACTGGTCCTGGGCCTCCCCTAAGTTGACTGAGCCTAAAATTGGTGTGATGTGTAAACAACAGCGCTGGGGAGACGAAGGCAGCCAGGTGTGGAAGTTGTTTGGCCATGCTTCTTTTTGTTGTTGTTGTTGCTTTAATGTAACAAAATGTGGCCACGTTGCAGCGCGATGCAAGACTCGCTCAACCCGGCATTACAGTTCACGAGCAACAGCCCCGACGCACCTGAAGCGTATAAAATAATGGGCGGGGGAGAGGCGGTGAAAGATATGGAAAGGAGCCTGCTGCCCCAACTTTGTTTGACCATACTTCACCACGGTGGTCAGTGCGAGTTGGTGATGGGAGGAGGGGAGGGGGCACGTTACTCGCCAAGGATGTTTGCCGTGGCCGGGAATCAAACTCGGGTCGCTGGGTTTATGGTGCAGTGCGTGAACCGGCATGCCTCATCTCCACCCCAGGCATTTCATAATGAATCGTTATTGCTGCCAAATCGCAGGCTGTTGGCACAGCTATGGACATCATGTACGAACTTTATGTATACAATGGCATTGTTTTATTATATATATTTTTTATATTGTGCAGACTTTTTTATGCCAATGCATGTTTATATATGTGTGCGCGCGTTTGTTCACACACGCGCATTTGAATCCATTTGCTTTTTATTATTTTTGCTTTAATTGTAAATCGAGCCTATGTAAGCGGGCTCTGTTGTTTACAGCCAATAACACTTTTATAATGGGCGATTATAATTAACCTCTGGAAATAAGGGAGCACAATAGACCACTTTTTTGACAAAAGTGTTGTTAGATCATGGGACATTACTTGAAACGGTAAATAATTGTTACGTCATGGGAAATGTGTTTTTTCCCTCACATTTCTCCACACAAGTCTCAAACCAGCTAAGGAGAAAGCATGCTTTTAGAAATCATTCTACATGGTTAAACATATCTTTCGAACTGTTTACACATCTTTCAAACTTCTTTTTGTCTTCAGTTTGTTGTCCTTACCCCGGTTGGCTACGTATTAGCACGGTTGGCTACGTACGATGCGAAACACGTTCAACAAGCACACGTACAGAGAACATCCTTCATCCGTTCACTCAAGAAATCCATCAATAGTGAATACATCATTAAATTGTCGACTTAAAACTTTCATGACTGCAGGAATTCAAATTCTTGGTTCTTTCGGTAAAGTCATGTGGATAGAAAATAAAAATAACAGATAATAAAATAAAAAAATACAAATTGAAAATAATGAAAGCAAAAAACCCACGACGTTTCGATCGCAACACAAGCGGCCTTCATCAGGCGGATGAAGACCGCTTGTGTTGCGATCGGAACGTCGCCTGATGAAGGCCCCTTGTGTTGCGATCGAAACGTCCCCTGATGAAGGCCCCTTGTGTTGCGATCGAAACGTCCCCTGATGAAGGCCCCTTGTGTTGCGATCGAAACGTCGTGGGTTTTTTGCTTTGATTATTTTAAATTTATATGTATTTTTTATTTTCTGTTATTTTTATTTAATTTTCTATCTACGTGACTTTACCGAAAGAACCAAGAATATGAATACATCATCATCATCATCACCATGTGGGACTAAGGTAAAAGATCCCACCCCCTGTAACCCCATTGGTCCCTTCAGCCTGTTGGTGAAAGTGCTGTTCGCGAGCACCGGTGGAGACACGAACGGTCCGTGATGGGACGGCGTGGCCAGAACCACGCGGGGCCACTATCATCTCTCACCACCAGTGCGACCGTGTGTTTACGCACCACACCGAGGGAACTCGTGTAAGGCTGAGTTGACCTACGGGAGACCTTAGGAATGATTTCATATGTTCGTCCCCGACGTTGCGCTTGAGGGGTAAATCGGTTCGCTAGCCACACTACACTACCACTACCGCCCCCACACACACACACACACACTCTCTCTCGCACGCAATGTCTACACATTATCTTAATTTGAATCGGAGCTGGCCACATCACGTGGAGCTATTGTTTAGCATTAATAATAATGAGGCGCTGTGCAGCGTGTAACTGCTTAATTTTGTACTTGAGCAGAGGAGTTTGGTATGCATAGAGAGACGCACCGTGTGGGGGCACGAGTACACCCTGCCATCATCTGTCGGTGGAACGTCTGACCCTTGTGGCTTGGCAAGCAAAGACACGAGTCGTGTTTGATTTCCCAGGCTTGGCGACAGACCATTGTGGGGGTTTTTTGTTGTTGTTTTTTCTCTCGCTCCGACGCGTTCCCGTTGTCGAACCGCGTGATGTCAGACGTGCCGGGAACGTCTTTAACAAAAACAAAATAAACCTTTCGAGCAAACGTCGGGGTCACCGTGGAGGACAACGTCATCGTCGTCGTCGTCGGCGTTGTTGTTGTTGTTGCTGTTGTTGTTGCCGTCCACCCAAAAACGGCAAGAAGATCGCAAGCGCGTGTGGACTCCGTCCAGGTTGTTATGGCTTGCGTTCGCTACTTCTCTTTTCCGTATGCTCCAAATGCACTGCTGAAACCTCTTAAAGTTTACACAAAACAATTGTAATACATGTATTGGGTTATTCAGGTTGTTTTTTTTTTGCACTGGAAAGATGCTTTTACCATTTTCTCGCTGGGGCATGTCACGACAGAAAACTAACTTAATTCCTTCCGCTCCATTAAGCATTATGCAATGCACAAAGTGTCACGTTAAACATTTTCTGCACTTTTGCGTGGCACATTCTCCGCAAAGGTTCAAATGTTTTAAGTGTCTTCAAGAGTCTAAGAGGTAACTTTTGCTCTACGCATTGCGTGCTGTTACCCCCCCCCCCAAACCACCCCCCCCCCCCCACCACTATTAATTTGATTAATTATATTCCTGGCCAATGAGAGACCGCGCTTTTTAGAGAGAGACAATGCCGCGTTTTTGAGTGCACGTGTTTGTGCCCGTGCTATTCGTGCAATCGCTTATTTTTATATATTAAATAAAATAGGACGGAACATTAGCCGAGCGGCTTTTGACGACTGAAAATAAACATGCAGGCAAGTTGTCACCACTTCGCTTATTTTATCCGCAGAGATATATAAATAAGCAATAACACTTTCAAAAAAAAATGTACGCAGTGCGTGTTGGCTCTTGTATGTACGAATGTTGAACTTCTTTCGGACCGTACGTAGCCAACCGCGCTAATCGGACGTGCGGCGGCGGCGGGGGCGCGGGGGAAGGACAACAAACTGAACACAAAAAGCAGTTCTAAGGAAATGAGTTTTCAATCGAGATGTGAAAGTGCATAGCTCCCAGTGATGTCCAAATATCGGAAGGAAGAGCGTTCCAAACGGGCCCAGAAGCGCTCCTGAGAGCGCGCGATGCAGTGGCCGTCCCCGTTCGATGACCAGCCAAACGCTGCTGCGAGGATGAACGGAGTTCACGCGATCATTTGTGCTGTACGACGAGATTAGCGTTATTTGACCATACTTCACCACTGCTGGTCAGTGTGGGTTGGTGAACGCTGGCGGAGGGGGGAGGCAGGCAGACGTCACCACCAGTCACATTCGGGGTCGTCCATAAATGACGTCACGCACCTGGGGGGGGGGTCAGACATTTGTGACGATGGGGGGGGTTGAGAAATGTGACGTCACATCAAAACGCGCAGCTTTAAATAAATATAGACAACACGTTCTGCTTAATTACATAGACTTTTTTAATAAATGTTTTCTCCTACAACATCAAAGTGCAGCGCCACATTAAATATGCACTACAATGACAATAGTTTAAAGCGATTTGAAGCATGTTTTATTTGGGGGGGGGGGGCAGAGCTTTGTGACGTCATTTTTGAGGGGGGGTCTGACTTTTTGTGACCCCGTGTGACGAAGGGGGGGGGGGATAAAAAAAATCGTCCAAAACCACGCTCCAGCTTGAATAGGTGCTCGCGAACGGTGCTTGCCCCAACAGTCTACGCGGGATAAACCAATAGGTGCTCGCGAACGGTGCTTGCCCCAACAGTCTACACGGGATAAACCTTTCTCTTTGGGCCTACTGGCGTGCGTGCACGAACAACGGGTCACAACTTTCGGAAGGAGCGGCCGGGTTTGCGACTCTTCGTATTCATCTGGGGACACTATTTGTGTACAGAATTCCTGGAGGATAGGAAAAAAGAAAACCCCCACCACGGCTCTCGAAGCCTCTTCTCCGATGAGATGAAAAGCTTACGCGGAAGCGTACGTCCGTCAGCGTGCACGCGCCTGGGTGCGCGCGTGTCATTTCCCCCCCCCCCCGCCCCTACTGGACGTCTGTGAAACGAGAGCTTCATAGCTCATGGGATTCCCCCAGTCTAAATAAAGATTCTGATTGTGATTCATCAGTACATGCGCTTCCTGGAGGACCTGGGCCGGCGGCTCAAGGTGGAGGAGCTGGGAGTGGACGTGGGCTTGGACCTGCAGCTGGAGGCAATGCTGACGCGGGCCGACCACCTCGCTAAGCTGGAGAGTGACTCCACAGCCGACGGAAAGACTCTGCTCTACAGCCTGCAGCGCAAGGTGTCTGTCTGTTTTACGCGCAGCAGCAGAAGGTTTTCGCGACCAGTATTATTAAAAGTCAATATTTTTTTTGTCTGGGTTAGATTGCATGCATATAAATGTGTAATGAACCCACGACCGCCCGACACAGCTACTCAGTAAGGTTCGTCACGTCATCACAGCCAATTGGTTCAGCACCAATTGGTTGTGTCGATTGGTGGTGGAGGGTTCACGACACATTCATATTTACGCGATCTAACCGAGAGAGAAAAAAACCTTTGCGTGGCGGTGGTGCTGGTAGCCCATGGCGATGATCGTGACGGTAGTCGCGACGACGTGATTATCGTGACGGTGGTCACAACGACGTGATGATTGTGACGGTGGTCGCGACAACGTGATGATCGTGACGGTGGTCACAACGACGTGATGATCGTGACGGTGGTCGCGACAACGTGATGATCGTGACGGTGGTCGCGATGAGGTGATGATCGTCACGTGGCCGTGATCGCGATGACCTGATGATCGTGAGATGTTCACCTGGGCGGTAGGAGGGCAGTGGAGGAAGGGGAGTGGATGGGTGGGGGGCAAAATATTTGCCACAACTATTCACATTTTTTTAGATGGAGAGCGTTTTTGAGACTTTTCATGAATGTGAAATTGTGGATAATTAGTTTACAATTGTGTCGTTGCATGTTTATGTTCAGATGCGTGTAATATCACGTAATGAAAACCAAAACGATCGACTTTATTACAGTGTACACAATTTGTCCCCCTCTGATGATTTTCAGCTCAGTGCACCGCTGCTGATGACATCGTGATGATGATGATGATAATTGTGTAAGAATTGGTAAACAAAAATATCACTCGGAATTTTTGTATGACGATGGTGATTATAACGATAATAACGAATCTAACTGTTTCACCAAACAATAAGACACAGATTCCACCCACCCCCCCCCTCCCAAATACTCTGCCCATGCTTACATAAGTCACCAGATACTGATTTAAGGCTTAACCTACCTAAAGGAGATAATCACCACTGACTTGAGCCGTGGACGAGAGTGGCACTCTGACAACTGGCTTCGTGTAGTGCTCCAACCACTACACTGTTGCGTCACTAAAACAAAGATCCCCCGCATAGCTTTAAGAAGGCTGTTGGGGCAAGTGCTGTTAGCGAGCACCAATGAAGGCCGGCACGGCACACGAGGGGGTGGGTGGGCCAGCACCACGCCCGGCCGCCTTTGTCTCCCCAGTGGCGATGTTTACACACCGCACTCATTAAAGAATGAGTCGACCTGCGGGAGGCCCAGGGCCGGTGCGGATAATCGCCGCTGTGTTGGTCGCGAGCAGGAATGGAACTTAGGTGGTTGGCCGGATTTGTGGCACGGCAAGGAGCGCGCTCTCCACTGCGCCGTCGCTCCCCACGCACGCACCACATCTTGCCCCCCTTTCGCGCGGGCCGACGTAGATGCCGGAGCAAACGACTGCACGCCATCGAATGCCAGGCAGGATCCGAGCGCCGTTTGCCCGCGATGCCTCCCCGACCAGGTGAAGGCCCAGAAGGAGAAGCTGCAGAGCAAGGAGCTGCACCTGGAGATGCTGCGCAAAAAGTTGTCGCAGCTCGAGGAGGAGCGAGGCACGAGGACGGCGCTGGCCGTGGAGCGCGACGACGCCAACGCCGCGCTGCACAAGCTGCGCCGGCGCTCTGAGCGCCTGCAGCAGCAGCTGGACGCCGCGCGTACCGCCAACACGGAGCTCAAGGCGCAGCTGGCAGACGCGCACGGCCTCAAGGTGAGCGGCGGAGGGAGGGCTGGCGCCGTGCTAATGACTGTAACCTCTGAGCGAGAAGCATCTGGGTTCGATTCCTGAATCGTGGGGTTCGTATGTTCTAACCCCCCCCCCCACCCCCCCCCCCTTCACTTGTGCTGCAGAGTGTGACTGTGTGAGAGTGTGTGAATGGGGAGCGGTAGTAGTGTTTATGGGGAGCAGGAATCTAGCCCAGTTCGATTCCCCTCTCACTGGCTAACACCAGTGACGATTATGTGAACCGGTCCTGGGCCTCCCCTAGGTCGATTCAGCCTCAAAGGAGTACCTGGTGCGGTGTGTAAACATCGCCACTGGGGAGACAAAGGCGGTCGGGCGTGGTGCTGGCCACTCAACCCCCTCGTGTACCGTTGCCGGCCTTCATAGGTCACTTGCCCCAACAGTCTGTGAAGGCTACACGGGGGATCTTTGTCTTTAATCTTTGTTTTTTTGGGTTTGTTTGTTCTCCTTCTGTTCTGCATGGGTTACCTCCACGTTCTCACGTTTTACTCCCAAAGCTAAAAACTTGCAATGTAATGTAATTGGTGTTTGCAAAACATCCCAATGCAGGACCCTCCTGAAAAGCAAGAGTTTCCAGACTCTTTCCTGGGGGAATAAGTAAAATATGGGGTGGGGGGTCAATAAATACATTTACAATACAGCAGGCATTCCACTTCTCAGCTCACGGCCCGCAAGTCAGATATGGCCCACAACTTAATATCACACAGCCCATGGCCACATTAGTTCCACCACTTCGAAACAGCCCACGACGTGATATACTTACCCCTCTCTTCGCGAAGTGATCTTTGGGTGGTCCCGTGCGTTTGTTCGGAACGCTGTCCGACGCCTCGCTCCGGTAACAACCCGGTAACAACGCCGGAGAGCCACGACCGCACAAACCCGCGAATAAATGTTGACGGCTTTCGTGTCGGCGCCGAACACACCACAGTGCCACTCGCGGGTTGTGCCATTTCTCACAGTGCCAACACTTTTGGGCGCAGTAACGTCGTTGTGCTCAGCCCGCTGCACGCCCGCGGCAGCCACCGCTACCTGTGGAATGCACTATCGCCACTGCTCCGCGTGTCCACATTAATTGAGGGCTTTACCGTTCCATTTGCGTGGGGTTTTCTTTTTTACCCCTTCTCGTCTTTTCCCCCAATCGTATCCCAATTGCGCGGTCGGCATTATGCTGTGGAGTTGACATTCAGATCGCTCGTAGGGCAGCGCAACCCTCTCTCAGCGATGGAACAGCTGACGGAAGCAGATATCGCCGAGACAACTTCTGAGATTCCTCGCCACGTGCATAGTAATAATAATAATAAACACAACTCATTAATTGGCCGAAAACATCTTAAAGTAGTAACACCCAAAGATTCCTATGACTCAGTGTGGCTCTCCTGGATAAATAAGTACAAAATAGTTTTTTTTTTTTTTATATTCGTGACCAGTCTGAGAGCATGAACGCGCGGGGTGGTTGAAGCCAGGATTTGAATTCAGGCTCAGCGCTCTGACCTCCTCGTGTATTAATGACGTTTCTTTATTTTTTTCACAAACCGTTGAG